TAAAAAAATATATTTGAGTATTAGGTTCCTAGCAAACAACAGGAATATTCATGGTAAATATAAATATTTAAATGTAAAAATATAAAATCCATATTATCAACAAGAAACAAAATGTTACATGTAACGTAAGAGAGTCTACCAATCCTCTCAAGTTTATTTGTGGGTCCCAGGTTAGGAATTTTGGTCCTAAAGGACCTCTGAAGGTGCCAAGAGAAGAAAGGGGAACACCATTAGTCCTAGGTTTCACGTAGTATAAGCCACTGTTTTAGTTCATTCACTTCTTTAATCTAGGAGGCCTGGGAATCCCTTCCTTTTGGGTTTTTTCCACGATTAAAATATTTTTCAGATTTGTTTCTAGCCTTCTCACTATATAGGGATTTAACTTGAATTCAGAAGTTTTAGCTCCATTGCATTTAGAGTCAAATTATTTTTTTCTGTGCCCTTTAAAAAAAAGGAAATAAATGGTGACCATAGTTAGCACTATATTGTGTAACTGAAATTTACTAAGAGAGCACAGCTAAAATATTCTCACCAAAAAAAGAGATAAATATGTGAAGTGACGGATGCGTTAACTAGATGGGTGGAATCTTCTCACAATGTGTACATATACCAAATCATTACAGTGAACACTTAGAATATATTGCAATTTTATTTGCCTATTATACCTCAGTAAAGCTGGAAAAAATAAAACCACAGGTCTCTTTTTCTATTTCTAGAGGAAAGATGAATCACAACACATGCAAAACAGCTAACTTCTAAATGAATAGATATGAAAGGTTATCAATAGCTTCTTTGTAAAATTTTTTCACCGTAGTGTTGAAAGGTTCTGTGTATAAGTTTTTCAAATAGTAAATAATTTATTAAACATTCAATAAATATTCCTCAGTGTTGTTAAAAATGAAAAAAAAAAAAAAAAAGAAAAGAAAATGGGAATAAGAATATGCCCAGCTCTACTATATTTCATGGTGTCCTGGTGAAGAGTGAGATGATACTCATAAAAGTTTTGACCTCTAGATTAGATGTTGCAAATTCAAACTACTGCTGTGTTTTGTTTGAGCTGCACACAAAAAGAAAATTTTAAATTGAATTAGTTACCAAAATTTTACAATCAGGAGAATTTACATAAAAATCTGGATTTCCACTTCTCTTGGAACATTAAATGATCTGGCAACACAGTTTTTGCATTTGTACGTGGCAAAAAGTGGTCGGGATTGAGTAATAGCTGCCTCCTTGAAATGTGCAAGAAGGCTTCAGTTTGTCACAGTTCTCATCAATCCCTTTAATTCCCAATATGGGAGGTAGAGTATCCACTGTCATGTTTTATCTTATACTTGCCCTGTATGTTATTAGTCTGGTCCATATGGGCACGTGGATTTGCGGTCCTCATTTAGATTTTGTTTCTGTTTCTAGCTCCAGCTCCCAAACTGATAGATTGATAATAAATTTACTTACTAACCTATCAATCTTTCATTCACCTTTTTCAACATTACTCTCCTTAATAAAACAAATAATATGAAAAAGGCAGGAAATGGCATCTGCTAACATTAATTTACAACATACCATCAAATATTACTTTTATCTATTGTCTATTTTTAAAAAGGAGTGACTTGAGGGCCGGCTGAGTGGCTCAGTTGGTTAAGAGCTCGCTCAAAGGTTTGAGCTCTGAGCAACAGCGGTTCGAGTCCGGGCCGAGCTGAGTTGCCGCTGAGCTGCCAACAGGTGGCAGGATGGCTCAGCTAAAAAAAAAAAAAGTGACTTGAAAGGAAGAGGGTGTCTCCCGTGTTATATGGTCTTTTCTGTACCTACAGGTTTTATTCCTACTTTATACTTTTTCCTGACTTACCTCATAAGCGGCACCCAGATCCTGGAATTTCTCCTGAGCTCGAGGATCATCAGGGTTCCGGTCAGGATGAAGCTGCAGGGCTAGTTTCCTGTAGGCCTTTTTAATATCCTTTATAGAGGCACTGCGAGGCACCCCCAAGATCTTATAGAAATCTCGACTGGGGTGGGGGGGGGAGGAGAGGATACTTCATTAAAGAGTTATATATAACATTTTTTAAAGTGAATTTTTTTCCTTTATATTTAGGTTTATATTTGAGCAGAGGCAGGAAAATGTAGGTATACATGTGACAGAAACACATAAAAAAGAATGACTAAAAAGAGAACTCACCAGAATTTGTAGTAAGTTTTATATGTTAAAGTATTCACAGTGAGAGGCTATGTATTTTTTGAGCAATGCTAGTATTATTCAAAATATATGTGGCATTCTTCTCTTAGAACTAGCTTCAGTCAAGAAAACGATTTTCTTATTTTCTGCTCACACGTTATTTTGAACCAAGAGCAGTATAATACAATTAACTCTTTTTCCCCATTACTGACTTCAGAGGACTTTTTTTTTACTGTTTCTGAAGGTCAAATAACAACCTCAAAGGATGATTTTATTTATTCAAAAAGATTACATCACATAAATGTTCTGACTAACAGTACACTGGTGGAATGTTAAAGATGAAGTGCCTGAAATTAACTTCAGAGGTTAATATAGAGGTTAAGCCAAAGCAAAAATAAGAACCCTGAAGAGAGAAGAACACCCATTTGGATGTATGAGTTGTGGGGTTTTTTGCTGAAAGAGAGAGAAAATATCAATCTTACAGTCATTGCTTGTAGTTATACTACTTTGTCTAAGTCAAGTCTTAATTATAGACAGCTGCGGAAGCCCATATGCAGGAGCTTACAAGTCTTAGCAGCTGCAAATATGCATATGGTATGAGCTGGGAGATAAGGCATAGATATCCACAGACCTCCCTGCAAAGGACTATGTTGGAACCAAATTAATTACAAAGGAAATCTTTGTAAGAAGGGCCAGTGGGAAGATAGAATATGACTATAGTTAGGGCAGGGAGTGTGTCTAGCCCACAGAAGACACCAATAAATATTCATTGAATGAAATGAATAAATAAGCATGCTCACAAAAATCTATTCCTTTTTGCCAGAGTCACATTAGCCACCAGAAGTTATTCTGAAAATGCAGTCTGTCAATAAAGGAAATGGGAAAGTTGTTCACAATGGACACACTCATGTAGTAGGGATGGCAATTTTATAATGCAATGGGGAAAATGCACTGGGGTACCAAGATACACATCACATAAGACAGAACATTTCAAAAATTATTTCATAATCTTTTAGTCACACTTTAGGAAAATCATTTAACATATCAATTTTTTAAATTATCATGCACAAAGGGTTCCATGAGGACTGTTTTTTCCTCCCTCAATAAAATCTGCAAAAACTTGACATCTCTTGAGACAAGAACTAAATAAATGGAAAGGTTCACTACAATTAATGACAAAAGAGATAACTCTATAAAGAATAAGGCTTAATTAGAAAATGCATAATACAAAAATGATTAGATAACAGCTCAAAAAATACAAGGAAATGTTAGTAGCTGGCAAAGCTTAGCATCAACATTACAGCTCCCAAGAGATTCCTTTATGAAAGACTTGAAGTTTAAAGCTACAGTATTAACAATGTTTATACTGGTATTTTGTTTAAACACCTTAGGGTACTTATTGCTTTAAGTGTAAATAGTATTAACAAAAACATACTAAACAAAACGATAAGGCATTAGCTATGAGAC